AGACAAAATTTAAAGTTTAAATAGGTGTTTAAATGATAAAGGTAAAACTTGGTTAAAATATTAAACTTTATTAAAAAATTTGCAAAATTCAGAAAAGGTAAATCTATATCAAAGTTTATAAAAATGCTGAAATATATCAAATACTTAATAAAAATTTAGTGAAACTAAAGAGTTAGATATTAGCCAAATTCAAAATGAGTTTAGACAAGCAATCTTATTACGTATTATCATAATCCTAATTAATTCACAAATTTCTTATTATAAACTATTATTAAATTAAATGGATTAAGTTAAAGTTATATTAAAATTAGGGATTAGGATTAGTGTTTAGGATTAGTGATTAGAATAAGAATTAGAATTAGGTTAAGTTATTCTATTGATTACCTTTGTATTAAAATTAGTTTTAGATCATTTATTAATTCATCCTAATATTAGAGTTAGATTTAAATTGATTTATCAATAGATAAATTAGAATTAGATTATTTATCAATTATATAAATTATTAGTATTTACGTAATTTCAAAATATTAATGTTAATTTTAACTTTAATATTATATACCATACCATTCTGAAATAAGCACTCATTTTTATTATAAGGATGCTTATTTTCAGATATTTTTTATAAATTTTAGATTGGCAAAGAATTTTGTCAATTTTTGTGTAATGTAATATATTACGTAATGTGTAACATAATATAAAATCATGCGAAATTTCAAAAACTGGATTTAAAATTGTTTTTAAATTCAAACTGTATAATATGCTATAACAAAGGAAAAGTTTAACCAAAAGTTTTAAAAAAGTAAACTTTGCTACAATTCTTATTCTATAGGAAATAAACAAGTCATCATTAATTATGCCATTGAAAACAGAAGAAATGAAACTGCCAAATACTTCAAACTTAATAGTATATGGTTGGTAAATAGATAAAAGCAAGCGAAAAATGGTTTGAAAAGAACTAAAATATTAAAAAAATTGGTTCTAAAAGAAAAGAATTTTTTCCTGAAGCAGAAAAATAACTTTATAATTAGATTATAGAATAAAAAAAAAGGAATTGGCTGTTTATTATATATATGCTTGAATTAAAATGTTAGAAATTTTAAGGGGATTAGAAATGATAAACAATTATGACAATTCTAAAGATTTTAAAACATATAACTATTGGACATTTGCTTTTATGAAAAGATGCAAGTTGTCACAGTAGCATCATACTAAAATTTTTCAAAAGCTTTCTGAATAAACTAAAGAATTGATAAATAATCTTTAACAATATCTCATTTGATTTCGAATTGTAAAGTTCTACAAAATGTTTAACATTTTAAATATGAATGAAACTCCTATTTGATTTAACATAATGGGAAATTTAGCATTGATTAAATAGGAGGAAAATATTGTTTATATTCGTGAAATTAGAAATGAAAAAAAATCAATTTAGGGTAATCTTGACATGTGCTATGTGTATGTATATTTTCAAAGGTTTAAAAATTGATTGATATTGGTACAAACTAACTTATTACAATTGTCTGATTTAATTTTTTATTAAAATTATATAAACAGAATCAAATTTTTGCTGATTTGTATTTTTAAGGGTAAACTATTATCATACAGTGAATAGATTCCATTCAGCATTTTTGTTTAGTTTTAATAAAATGGATGGATGATACTAATTTAATGGAAAGATATGTTAATTTATATCAAAAACTTGAATTATTATATATGATTATTTTAGAAACCATTTGAAGGAATCTGTCAAGAAAAATTTTACGACCATGGTTTTGATATAACAGTTATCTCTAGTGGTCTTATTAGTATATGTCAACCATTGGATATTACAATCAATAAGCTTTTTAAGAACAATATATCTAGAGAATAATATTCATAAATGGTAAAGAGAGGTATCAAAATGACTGTAGCAGGCAATCTTTGTTTTACTAAATTGTCTGATGTTTGTAGATGAGTTAAGCAGGCTTAAAAGAGAATTTCAAATGAAATGATTATAGAACCATTTAAAATTTGCAAAACATCAACTTCCTTAGACATATCAGATGATTAAACCAGTAAAAGTAACAGATCAGATGATGAAAATGATGATTTGGATGGTGAAAATAATGATAATAATATTGTTAGTAATAAATTTGATGATAATATCATTGGTGATGATAGTGATGATGATATTGCTAGTAATAATGATAATTGATTGATATTATTAGTGATAAGTTCAAACTTCAAATCATAAATGTGAATTTATAATGTAACAATTGGTAAAGAATCGTAAATTCTGAAAATTTATTTTATATTAGTAAAAGTAATTAATTTTAAGATTTTGTTTATTAATAATTATTTTTATTGTTTTTTATTAAATTATTTACAAGAAACATTTTTTAAATAAAATTTTATAGTTGTTGAGTAAAGGTGCTTATTTTCAGATCTAAATTAGCTTAGGATGCTTATTTTCAGATGGTATATTATTTATTTTTAATATTTTATTACTATGAAAAAATTACTTTTTATATCTATTTTCTGTTGGCGAACCCCTAGAACGTCATTTGAATAGAACTAATAGTAAGGTAAATAAAATAATAATAAAATAAAAAATGTGACAAGTAGGTTATAATCTAAAAAAATAAGATACTGAGAAATTTTAACTAAAATTAATATTTTATTATATTTTAGTCTAAATTATATATCAATTTTATCAAAAATTCTCAGAACTTGAATTTCTTGGATCACAACTTAAGTGATAGTAAATGATAAATAAATAAATTATGTTGTATGAGTCATATTAAGCAAGGTATGAAGTTAACAATTGAAAACTTTAAAAATTAAGTTAAGATGTAAGAATTTGAGACTTTATGAGATCTAAATGTTTTTAAAATCTTTATGAATATATGACTTTCATTTTAGGTTGTAAGAAAGATTTAGCTTGCATTTTGATGTTTCTTGATGATAAACTTTGTGAGTGATAGATTTTATGATACATAATACTGTGACAAACATAATTGATAAATAGTAATCTTGACGATCACGATTTTTAACTTTCTATCATTTTTCTGATTTCTTTATTTTCATAATTTCTTAGTGATCTCTAATTTCACACACATTTCTCTAATATATTTAATTTTATTATTTTATTATATTTCTTATATTTCTTTATTTTCATAAATATATACTTCATATTACAGCTAATTTCATAATTCATGGACCATTAATAATTTTTCAGTTGCTTTCAGTCGCAATTTATTAGTGATTCACAAATTATGAAATTAGCTATAATGTATTTTATATAAATAATATCTTGCATTTCTGCCTCAATAAATGGCAAAGTCACTACAATTTTCTAATAAATCAATAACATTTTATCTCTTAAACATATCTTTGCTCGTGAAATAATTCATTCATTTTTAATCTATATCGATAAAGATGACCTGACTCTTCAATTTAATTATTTGTGTTTATTTCTTTCATAGTTTAGACGCACTTAAACTCCCTGCTAGCAAATATTCTTTAAATTCTTTGTTAACTTAACGATGAATAGTTTAAGCTTAACAATTTTTCTTAGTTTAAGAATGATACTTTTATAAAAGGTTAGTTAAATAATAAATTTTCGTTATAAACATAAAAAAAATTTTAATTTCCGACGAGCTATCTGTTTTAAAATCAATTCCGAAGGAAATTATTTATATTCGTTATCATATAATAATAGTTCTTCCCTTCTAAAAAAGGTATGATTAGTATTCATTAATATATCATCATTTTATATCCATAGCGTTTAAAATTTCTAATAAGTGCAAAAGCACAAAGATAGAAACTTTTCACAATAAATAAATCAAAATATTACTTTGTTAAAATAGCAAAAACACGATTTGTACTATTTGTACTGTACTGTACATAGATAATAATGACAAAACTCAAGATTGATTGTTCATAAAAATTTTTTATTTCTATTTCTTTGTCTGTTACTATCGAATCGAAAACTAATTATAAATTAATCTTTACAACTTAAGTTTTCATTGCAAAATTAAGCATAGTTTATAATTTTGTGATGATGCTATCATTTGCGATGTAAATTATCAAATATTTCAAATTTATCTTGGATTATATCAAGATAATGTTGCGAGAGTGATAATAAATTGGTTTGTTTATTACTATAAAGATTTTGCTAATTTCTTTATGTTTAAAGCAGATGGTTTATAATTTTCAATTGGATTCTAAAACAATGTAAATGAAATGAAGTATTATCGGCGTTATATACGATCAGATACGTTTTTTATTAAAAGTTTTGTTATTATTACAATAAATGCGAGTGAAGTATTCTAAACTAATTACGAACTAATTAATGATTTTTTTCAACATACTTTTTTATTCCATGCGAATAGACTACTAATTTATGGTTGATTTTTATCAAGGAATTATTGTCCTTAAGGCAATTTTCCACGAAAAATATTGGCCGGAGTTATATTGAACAGGAGACGAATAGTCTGCGAAGTCTAACTAAAAAATAATTTTGTATTAATTATCGTAACAATTACCTAATGATATAATTTTCTGAAACCTTGCTCGGGAAAACCCAGTACTCCTGTATATAAAATAACATAAATCACAGGTGCAGCAGCAAACTCCATTTTTTGACAAGCTATTTTGAAATGACCTTTAAATAACTGGTCATTTATGCCAAATTTAATCTTAATTTGAAGTTAAAGTTAATCAGAACTAGAATAGAAAATAAAGAAAAATAAAGATAGTAATATTAAACAATTATAAGATCACTTTCTTTAAATGACTCGTTCATTTGTCATTTGATTTCAAATGACCTTTAAATGAAAAGTTATTTAGTTGAGGTCAATGCAATATGCGGCATGAAAATATGATAACCAACGCTTATATATATAGAATACGTGTTCGTACTTTTTTTGATTAATTTTATTAATTGATACAGAAATTTATGATATGTAATCTTTAGCAAAATTATTATTATAACCACGAAACATTAAGTTTTCCTTAAACTACAAAGGAATATTATGTTTCTTACAATATTCAGCAGCTTCCTTATGCTGTTTATAAACAGCTAATCTCATATATTTTTTACCTAATACTTCATCTCTTATATCAGCATCATCCGAGAGATATAAAGTAGCAGCATTAAACATACCGACAGCTTGGCCATTTTCGGCGGATTTAGTAAAATATTCGGCAGCTTTTTTTAAATCCTTCTCAGCTCCATTACCTTTAAATAAACAATAACCATAACGTAATTGTGCTTCAGGGTAGCCCAAATCCGCCGATTCTTTATACAAATCTGCAATTAATTTGTCTTTGGTTGTTTGTTCCACATCTAGTTTAACATAATTTTGTTGAATAAAATAAGCTTTATAGTATTTTGCTTTTTTGTCGTTTAATTTAGCATATGCTTCAAAACATTTATAAGATAACTCGCGATCGCTTTTATTTTTCACTGCTTCATCTACTGACATATAATTGAACGCTGCCGAATTTATAATCGAACTTTTATCTTTTGAGATAGTTTTCTCACTTTCCGGCGCGCGTTTTGGTGATGGATGTAGAATATCAACTTTCTGATGAAGATCTTGTAATATAGTAAAGATCTTTGAAAATTGAGGTCTAAAGTTATGGTCAGGATGAACAGCTAGAATAGATTTATAATAGTAAATTACAGAAGTTAGAACATTTAAAAAAACAGATGTATAGTATTCAAATACCTTTTTTTGCAAGTTCTTGATATTCCTCTGGTAATTGAGAAACGAGAGAAAATGGCTCACGATATTTTTTGATGCAAACAAGTTCGGTAATTGCAATTATATCATTACCAACTTTTTGATAAGGAATTTTCCCTTCGCCGATTTCCCAAAGCAGTATGCCAAAACTATAAACTTCACATTTGGTATCATATTTATATCTCGGCCCTTTATCCAACTTTTCAGGAGCGCAATACCGTACAGATTCTAATGTTGCGCCTTGATTCTTTGTACTATCAGTAATTGCGCGACTATCTCTAAAATTTGCAATCCTGGCCGACTCACGATCGGTGATTAGAATGTTCTCAGCTCGGATATCACGATGAACTACCTGTACTTAAATTAGTAATTTATTTTGAGTGGAGATGGAAATTATTTAAAAAAATGAATTACCTTTACAGCGTTCAAAAAATTTAATCCTTTGGCAATGTCAAGAGCAAATCTTAATTTCAACTTAATATCAAGTTTATAGTTTCGATAATATTCACGTAAGTTACCATACTCGGCCCATCCAGTCACCAAATATAATTTATCATCATACGAAGTTAAACCAAAATATTGAATAATGCAATCACATGGTTTCAATTTTTTTAAAATTGTAACATGTTTTTTAAAGTTGTCTTTATCACCTTTACTGCTATTTTTATCAGCAACCAACTTTAATGCAACAAAATCATTAAATGAATTTTTTCTTTTAAATTTTTTAACTTTTGTTTGGCTTCGGTAATCTTCAAGTTTTTCTTCTTTAAAGTCATAATAATCGAGTAATTCACTTATAAAAATACCAGTATCTGCTGATTTAGCTTCCGTCATAATTTTGTTAAGTGCACTTAATAATACGACTTCTTCCGAAACGTTTTGATTCTCATCAGTAATACCACTGCCTATATGTGTAAGATACTATAATATGATGTCAATAAGGTTACTTATATTCAATTCATAAAAATTAATTGATGCATTATTCAAATTACCTGAGATAACTCTTTAATATCAGACAGAATAGCTTCATGTTCCTTAGCTGTTTTATATGAATTAATACTAAAGTCGACTGACAAAGAAAATTGTATTGCTATTATAGTGGAATCAAATTCGCTACTTAATTCTTTAACACTATTTTCAATATTTTTAGCTTGAATATACTTTGATAAACTTGTTAATTGAGAAATTTCTCCAACAAACTTGCAAATTTTACTAATAACGTTAACTAATTCTTGTAAATGAAGCAGATTATTAGTTGTGAAAAATTCTACATTTTCATCTCTACGATTTTTTAAATTCCTTACGGCAGTATCAGCTATTTGAACTCTATCCAAAAATATCCCACATATTTTTTTATTATGTTCAGCTGTTTGATATATTTTTATTATTTCATTAAATACTTGTGTTACCTCCGTTATAAGTGGTAAAAATACAGCAAATGGTTCTATCTCGGTGGTTCCTATTACACTGGTAAATAACGAATCCTCCTCTAATATTGATTTTATATGTTTTCCACCATTATTATCGGTACTAATTATTTTTGAGTCAGTTTCTGTCACACTGACAGCCAATCTCGTCTCTGAGGAAATTTGATTTACATCAGAAACGTTATCACCAATGTGAAGGTTCTAAATGATGAAACGATAATTAAAATATTTTGTATTCATTAAAGGTCACTTTATTATACACGTTACCTGAGATAAATCATCAATAATAGTTATAATATCTTCATGTTTTGAATTACTAAGCTTTTTTTTTAAAGATATGAATAAATTAGCAAATAAAACTTTATATTGATCTTTAGTATTTTCAATATACCACTTATATTCTTTTTGATCATCATCTTTGTTTCCAATACCAAATTGGTAAGAATCACCAAATCTATATATTTTTTTAGTACCAGAATTTATATACCATTCATTTGCTTTTATCTCATCTTTTTCAACTCCTATACCAAATCGATAACAATATCCCAAATTATATTGACCTTCGGCATTTTCATTTTTAGCAGATTTAAAATACCATTCAAAAGCTTGTTTATCGTCATTTTCTATTCCAATATTATTTAAATAGCAATAACCTAAATTATTTTGGCCTTTAGCACTTCCATTTTCAGCAGATTTTAAGTACCATTCAAATGCTTTCTTTCTATCTTTTTTTATTCCAATACCAAATTGATAATGATAACCTAAACAATTTTGACTTTCGCTATTTCCTTTATTAGCGGATTCTAAATACCATTTATAAGCTTTTTTATTATTTTTTCTTATTCCAATGCCAAATTGATAACAATTTGCTAAGTAATATTGCCCAATTATACTTTCATTTTTTGCTGATTTTTGATAATAATTAAATGCTAAATTATAATTTTTTTCAGTTCCATATCCATCATAATAGCATTTAGCAAAATAAACTTGTGCTATTAAACAATCATCTTTTGCGATTGAAAATAATTCAAATGCTTTTTTATGATTTTCATTTACATCAATATTATTATAATAAAACAATGCAAATAGCCATATATACTGTGATTTGTTTTGATTTTTTGTTAACCATTCTATTAAGTTATTCGTATTTTGATTTGCTTCTAATATTTGTTGAATGACATATTGATTAATCCTATCAAGCAAAATACCTTCATCATGTTTCTTAATTATACAAATAATTAAATCTTCAATAAATGAATTCAACTGAACAGATTTTTGATTTAAATTATCTATACTACCAATATCTAAACAATCAAGTTTGGAATCATAATTAATAGTTACATTATTACTTAGTTTATTCTTACTTTTTTCATCTATTTCGCGAATTAATGTATTACTCTGTTTGTGAGAAATAATTGTTTCAAGAGTTAAAACAACTTCCCGTATATTTGGGCGTACATTTGGTTCATTTTTCCAACATTCTAATTATATACATATAATAATAAAATTAATTCGTTTATTTTAAAACAAATAAAAAATAAAATTAATACGTTTATTTTAAAACAAATAAAAAATATATGTTCGTTTACCTTCATATAAATTACTATACTTGATAGGAGTTCCCGGAATAATTTCTTCTCTTTGTCCTCGGATTATATTAATTATTAATCCACCATCATAATTATCGTAATAAAATGGTGAACGTCCACTTGAAATTTGCCACATAAGTACTCCAACGCTATAGACATCAGATTTTTTATCTTTTTTGCAAGATTTATCATTTAAACATTTTGGATCCACATAAGGAATTACACCAAATATTTTTGATTCACTACTTGAATCTTCTGTAATTTTTCTTGATAAACCAAAGTCTGCTAATTTAATCTTTTTCTGGTGCACAAGTATGTTTTGGGCATGCTTTAATTGCAAATTGAATCAAAAAAGGTCAAATTAATAACTTAATTGATAAAAATATAGAATTGAAATTTTGTATTACCAGATCACGATGGATAATATTTTCATCATGCAAACATTCTACAGCGCTTGACAGTTGTAATGCCAACCGGAATTTGTCATCCCAATTAAGTTCACTGGAATGCTTAATTAAATAAGCCTTCAATGTGTCACTGTCTGCATATTCCAAGACTAAAGAGTATACATCTGAATAAAAAATCAAAAATAAGAAAAATAAAATGAAAGTCATTAAATTCAATAACAATATGTTTTTAATACTGACTGGGTTCCTCCATTGTGATTCCATATAACTGTATAATATTTTCATGAAAACTAACTTTCCGATGCATTCTATACTGTATTAAAATATATCAAATAAATACTTAATGTAAATTTGTTATTATTAAAAAAATTTATAGAATACTGCACACCTCTCTCACAATTTCTTTAACGATTTCTTGATGATTTTTGAAAGATTTCAAAGCGAAAAAACCTTTATGTTTCCAATTAACATGATAAACATTTCCATATGAACCAACCCCTATAAGTTTTTGATATTTGAAGTCCGAGTATTCAAATAATTTAATATGTTCATTATCAATTGCGTCTTTTAACCAATCAATATAAGAATCTTTTGACATTTTTTGGCATTCCTTTTTTTGTAAAAGTAATTTTGTTGTGTCACATAAAACAAAAAGAATGCCAATATTTATGTATGTACGTTTTCAACAGCAATGTTACACTACATAAATAAAAAATTTCCAAAAAGATAAAGGAATTGTTATATTTTGTAACACGATCCTTTAACCAATCAAGTTTTACTATTTTTTGACATTCCTTATTTTTTTTGTAAAATTGTAATTTTGTTGTGTTACATAAAGAAAAAGCACAACTAGTATTACGTTTTATTCATTGTATATTTGAAACATTTTAAAAGCATTTTTATAAGGTGATGGCATTTCGTAAAATGTTTAAACTTTTATTTAATAAAAATTATAGTTTTTGATTATTTCGATAGAAAAATACTAATCATTACATCAGGCAGCAAAAAAAAATCTAATAAAGAATTCATGGCACAAAAAAAACAAATTTTAATTTTCATAAAATAAATTCATTTTCAAAAATTAACAAATAGTAATGATTAAATCAGCATCAAAATTGTGAAGCCGTGAATGAAGTAATTATTTACCTTTTTCTCACCGATTTATTTAACAACTTAATTATTTTATAGAAATTAAAGTTTCAAATTAAAAAATAATTCCGATTTTAGCAAATTGATATATATAATTTGGACTTTCGGATGAATCAGGGACTAATTATTTTTATTACTTAAAAGATATGATCATAAATCTCATTTTTAAATTATTATTATTAATTATTTTTAAATTAATTAATCAATTCAAAAATTTTTAACCTCAAAAAAGGGACTTGGAAAAGTTGTTATTCTTTATTTTAATTTATCTAAATAAATCACTTAAAATATGATGTACCTATAATATAAATTGGATTTATTTAATACATATTTTTTACTTCCTAAATATCAAATGAAATAACTTACAACTTAAATCGGAACATGTATCTATATTATATAATTCAACAGTTTGTATTTCTAAATCCAAATAATTATTATATGCTTTAGAGTATAAATGATAAATCATTAATATTAACCAGCGTTATATAAATGCATACTATACCTTCAGTTGAGATGCTTTTAATATTTATTTCTGTTTCTTTAGAATTTGGATTCTCATAAGTTGAATCATCTATACCCAAACCCACTTTTCTAAATTTTTCTAATACTTCTTTAATACTTGGTCTATTCATAAGTACAGAATCCCAACATTTTTTATAAAGCTCCTTATAATCATCAGGGGTCTCTTCTAAATCATTTTCACGATATCCATTAATAATCTTAATAATAAGCAACTCCTGATCACTTATACTAATAAAATCTTTAAATGGAAGAACTCCACTGGAAATTTCCCACATTAATACACCAAAACTGTAAATATCTGAAACCTTTTCATATTGAAACTTTAAATCATTAAGTTTGTTTGGATCAACATATGGAATTCTACCAAAAATTCCGATATGAATAGTAGTATTTTGAGCATTCATATGTTTTGAAATACCAAAGTCCGTGATTTTAGCATTATCATCATGAATTACTATATTCTTAGAATGCTAAATTAAAATAAAAATTTAAATAATTATCTAATATTTAATTATAATCAAAAATAACTGAGATAAAACTTACAAGATCCCTATGCAAAATATTTTCATTATGTAAATAGTTTAATACATCATCAATTTGAAATGCCAACTTCTTTTTATCTTTCCATGTTAAATTTATATAATTCTTTTCAAGATAATTTTTAAGATCACCATTGTTAGCATATTGCATTATAAGGAGATAATCTCCGTTATCTATAAGGATAAATTTAATATAAAAAATAAAATTTAAAAAATAAAAATATACCAATTTTTAAATTACCTGGACTAATTTGACTTATACCAAAACAACGTACAATTCGATCACTGTATTCAAGTTGCAAATGGATTTGTAATTCATGAATAAAAGCATCTAATATACTGCCTTTAATAGATTGCATATTAGTTAATTTTTTATAAACAATGCAATTATCTGTTCTAATCCAAGTTGCTTTCATAATACATCAAAAACCTCCAGTGTCAAGTGGCTTAGGATTTTTTAACTGGTCAAAAGGAAAAAATAAAACTTTTTCGCTTTTTATAGCATTTTCTATACATTTACTTGCATTATAATTTTGAATATTTTGCCAACTATCGTATCCTATATATCTTTAAATGATTTTAATTAATCAAAATGTTTAATTTTATATAAAAAGATAAAAAAAAAAGATACTCACTTTAATTAGATTTCATACAAATAAAATCGGTTAATTAATTAAATAATAATAAATAATGTATAACAAATAATAAAACAATTAAAATCAAATAACTCGCCACATAATTATTAGATAATTTTAAATTGAACATAAAAATATTAAAGTTGCAGGATTAAACATACCAATAACTTGGCCATTTTCGGCGGCTTTGGTATAATATTCTGCAGCTGCTTGCAAATCCTTTTTAACTCCTATACCTTTAAGTAAACAGTTACTGTATCGTAATTGTGCTTCAGAATCACCAAAATCCGCTACTTCCTTATATAAATCTGCCACTAATTTGTCTTTTATTGCTTGATCCATATCAAGTTTAACCAAACTTTGTTGAATATAATATGCTTTAAAGTATTTTGCTTTCATATCGTTTAATTTTGCATTTGCTTCAAAACACTTATAAGCTAGCTCGCAATTGCCATTCGACAGTTTATGTTGTTTTATCGCTTCATCTACTGACATCAATCTATATTCGTTGAAATTTATATCATTTGCAAGAGTTTCATTATTTATTGGCGTCAAATTGGGACTATGCAACGGTGAATATCCACCATCTTTCTTATATAGTTCTTGTAGTCTGGTAAAGATCTTTGAAAATTGGGGCCTTAAATTTTGATCGTGTTGAACGGCTGTATAGGTTTAGAATAGTAAATTTACTGAATTAGTATTTTAAATATTTTAAATATAAGCTAAACAGGCATTTTTTCTAAAAATTACAAATATAATACCTAATTTTGCGAGTTCTTGATATTCTTTTGGCAAGGGTGAACCAAGAGAAAATGGTTCACGATACCTTTCGTTGCAAACAAGCTTAATAATAACGAGGATTTCACAATAACTCTCATAAGGAAAGGAATTTTTTCTTCGGCAATTTCCCAAAGTAGTATACCAAAACTATAAACTTCACATCTGGTATCGTATTTTGACTTTTTTTCTAAGGTTTCTGGGGAACTATAACGTACAACTTCGAGGGTTGCATCTTGGTTTGTTGTACTATCAGTAATTACTCGACTTGCTTTAAAGTTATTTTGGCCTTATGATGATCGGTAATTAAAATATTCTCGGCTCTAATATCGCGATGAACGATCTGTAAAAGGAGAGTTATCCCAAAAAATAAAAAGATTCTTTTGGAATTAAGGATGATAGAGAATTAAATTAATAATAAAAATAATTACCAAAGCAGAACTCAGAAAGTTCAAACCTCTAGCTGTTTTAATATTCACGTAAATTTCCATATTCGGCCCATTCAATCACCAAATAAAATTTATCATCATACGAAGTTAAACCAAAATAGTGAATAATACAATCACATATTTCCAACTTTTTTAAAATTATAACTTGCTTTATAATATCTGCTTTATTATGATTGTTAACTGCAACTAACTTTAATGCAACAAAGTCATTCAATCCATGCTTTCTTTTAAATTTTTAACATTTCTTAAATTTCGATTATCATCTTCAGGTTCTTGTTCTTCAAAATCATTATATTCTAGTAATTCACTTTTAAAAATTCTATTATTTTCCGTTTGATTATCGTCAGTTACACCACTTTCAATATTTGTAAGATACAAATCATTAATGTCAGTTATCATATGGGAGCTGATCTATTAAAAATGGGTTACGAGAACCTTTTAACAAAAAATGAGATTTTTGATTCATATTATAGTATATTAAATGAACTTTATTTGGTTAAATTTTTAG